AAAAAAAAAAAAAAAAAAAAAAAAAAAAAAAAAAAAAAAAAAAAAAAAAAAATCATCAGACACTTTGAACCTTGGAAATCCAAGAATAGATCTTCTCCTTGAGGCTCTCTTCCTTTTCTTTGTAAGATGATCTGGACTAATTAATTTGGCTAAAGGACAAAGAATTTGTAGAACTTTAGAGGGGTTGGTCGGTCTTGGGATGTTTTTTGGGGATAACATAAGGTTTAATACTTTCTTATAGGCAGTGGTACCTAAGTCCTTTTGTAATTATCGGTTAGGTGTTATTCTTTTTCTTATTGTAAAGCCTTTTTATAGGTTATTTTTTCATATGGGCTGTGTTTTTCTGAATGCCCTCGTATATCCCTTCACTTGTTAATGAAAGTTCGGTTGCTTAAAAGATAAAAAATTAAAGGCTGAAGTCTAGTATCACTCTCTTTTTGTACTCATTGTTCATAAAGGTGGGCTGTATAATCCCTCCTCCTATTCCATTTGACATGGAAAACTCTCTTTAGTACTCCAAAAATGTTAAAATTTTCTTGTGAGAGCCTGCTCTTGGCAGCATTAATACCCATGATGTGTGAGTGAAACAGAATTTGGATACTCAAAGCCACTTATTCCTCTCATCCCCTTATGCTGGTCTTATTTTGGTCCTTGTTATTGCATATTCTTGGCATCTCCTCCCTCACAGATTGACAAGTTTGCTTCCCATTTTCGTAAAAGGTTGTCCTTTAAAAAATCCAAGAAATTCTTGTGACTTCAACTTCTGAGGGTAAAGGCTTTCTTTTGGTTAACGTGGTCAGAAAAAATACAAAAGAATATTCAATGAGAAAAAATCTTTTAGATAATTTTGGGAGAGTTCGTTGTTTGCTGCATGAACAAAAGTGTTATAAAACCATATTGTTTCTTCCTTTTAGTAGTCTAGCACCAGAATCAAATTTTCCTATGAGCTAACGATTCACCAAGCTGCTTGAACTTATTGAACCAGTCGTTTGTTCATACACGGCTCTATCACTTGGATTTAATCTCTTAACCAGCCCATAAATGTGGGAATAATCCTTCCATTTGTTGTCAACAAGAGACTAATGTAATATCCTAAGCCACCGCTAGCTAGCAAATATTATCTTCTTTGGACTTTTACCGCTAGCTAGCAAATATTATCTTCTTTGGACTTTTCCTTTCGAACTTCCCCTCAAGGTTTTTAAAACGCGTTTTCTAGGGAGAGGTTTCCACAACCTTATAAATAATGCTTCATTCCCTTCTACAACCGATATAGGATCTCACAATCCACCCCCTTTGGGGCTAGCGTCTTTGCTGGCACTCGTTCCTCTCTTCAATTGATGTGGAATCTCACAATCCACTTCCTTCGGGGCCTAGCGTCCTCGCTGACACTCGGTGTTTGACTCTGATACCATTTGTAACGGCCCAAGTCCACCGCTAGCAGATATTGTCTTCTTTGGGCTTTCCCATACGAGCTTCCTCTCAAGGTTTTTAAAACGAGTCTTTAGGGAAAGGTTTCCACACTCTTATAAATAATACTTCGTTCCCCTCTCCAACCATTACACTATATATGTATATTACATTTTCTTATAAAGAGAAACCGCCTAAAAATGGCTACAATGATGATATACAGGTGGATCTATACCTGCTGCCACAGCCAGCATTCCCAACAGGTGGACTATACTTCAAAAACCAGTCATGGGTTCAGGAAACCAAAGGAATGCATGTTATAATACACAATAATTACATCACAGGCTTTGAGAAGAAGATCAAACGTTTCAGGGAATTCAACCTGTGGTATGTGGATGATCATACTCTTGAGTCCCCTCTTGGTCGAATATGAGAAATTATTAGGCGTTATCAGTGTTCTTCCTGCATCACAAGGTACACTCTTTCAGAACTGTGTGTAGCCTGAGCAACATTTAGTTCAATTTTCCTTCTTCCTGGCACAGTTCTTTCAGCCAAAACACATGTCTAACTGCAGCGGAAAGCGCTCTATTATTGTTCATCAACCTTCGGTTGGAGCTATATTTTGTTCACAATTTGTTACTATCATCGTCATTCGTTGAACATCGAACGTTTGATCTCGTGCTCGAGAGTATAGTTTTGCTTTTTGCTGTTTGCTTTCATAGTGCTTCAATTGGTGGAAAAGATAATCATCTAACTGCAGCTGAAGGCGCTCTATTATTGTTCATCAGCCTTCAGTTGGAGCTATATTTCATTCATAATATGTAATAAGATTATCATCGTCATTCGTTGAACATTTAGTTTCGATCGAATAATTCGATCTCTATCTCGAATTCGAACATTTGATGACCTCTTGTTCGAGGGTATATGTTTTGTGACACTTGATCGATAATATATACTTTTTGACACTCGAATTAAGGTCAAGTTGGCTACTTTGAATACGTCGAGTTGACGGCGTACTATTTGTATATTTAATTATTTACTTGTTTATTATTAGCTTTCAACAATATTTAATTACATAAAACAAAAATGGAAAATGAAATTTCATTGATTAATTACAATAAAAAGAAGTGTTTCAAGCCACAGGTTCCAGCTGGATTTAATTTCATCTTCCAACCAAATCCACCTAAAATTTTGCTCATTTAAATAGGTCCATTTTTGTTTATTTCATTCAAAAAAATAATTAAAAGATATTTTTTTTTGTTTCCAAGTGAAAGACGTGAGTTTACAAAGTTTCTTCTTTTATACTTATTGTGAAAAGAAGTCCATGTTACATGTGAGTTTGGTATATAAAGTATGTCAATTTTACACGTTAATAAATGATATGCTTACCAGTGTTTGTGGGTTCGGTTGGGACATTTATTTAAACCCAACACAATTATTCGTAAATTTTTTCAACTTAAGCAACCTTTATTAAATAATAAATTCACCCTTGAGTTGGGTTGGTTTCTGTTATTCGAGTTATTTATTAAAAAAATAATAATAATAATAGTAAAATGCTAGTTCGTAAAACATTTATTCAATATCAATATATATTTTGAAAAATTATAATAAAAATAATAATTATGAAATTAAATAAAAGTAAAATAAATATGTAGATATAATTGTAGAGTACAAAAAAAAAAAAAAAAAATGTATATGTTAAAATTAACCATAAATTTAGGTTGGTTTAGTTCAACCTAATCTAAGAGCTCGTGAACCAATTAAATTTATGAAGTTTTGATTTATTTAAACTTAACACAGTAAGGTAAGAAGTATTAACCATTTTGAAAGTTCAAAGGTATTTTAAATAAAGTATTAATGATTCTATCCAAAACTAACAATAATGGTAATTTTTGTGAAAGTTTGTAAGTATTTTTGAGATATTTTTTCGAAAGGTTAAGCTTTAAAGTTTATGGATATTTTTTAAACAAAGTGGAAAGTTCGAAAATATTTTTATTAATTTAACTTATTTGACCATTTTTTTATTTTTAAAAATTATGTGAAATTTAAAATTTTATTTTATTTATTCATTAAATTGTTACCATACTTGATTTTTTCAGAACATCCGTGATATATCAAATTAAGTATATTATTGGTATATTACATTCATATAAGGTATATCAGTAGTCATAAATAGATATATTCAATCACAAATAAAAAATATACAAATGATATAACATTGGTGGAAATATAGAAGAGAAATAATTAGGTTATAAAATACACGTTAAAGCTAGACATACATAAATGAAATGAGATTGGTAGCAAATGAATTAATTAGGTTATTGTCCTCGAGTGACACTCGAGTAAAAGAGACGTACATAAATGAAATGAGATCGGGAGCAATTTCGGGGATAAAATGCCTAAGAAATACTATAGTCATAGAAAATTTTCCTAGGATGCATGTGACGAGGACAAAACATGCTGGAATGACTTGTATGGATTTGTGAGGATAATCTTTACTCGTAGAAGCAAGAGGTCACAGGGGATGTAAGGGAATGTCGGGCTATCAAGTACCAAATCCAAATTATTCCTAAGATGCATGTGAGTGTGGACAAAAGGATTTATGTTGATTTGTGGGCATAATCTTCCTTCTTAGAAGCAAGTAGTAAGTAACGTGACCATATTGCAGGAAATGCATAGACATGTCAGGACCATGATCGACAAAGTAACAACTATTTGAATTTGTATGAATAATTTAGACTACCATGATCCTTAGAAATAAATTGCGGGTACAAATAATGGTTATTTATATTCAAATCTTAGGTCAATAATAAGTTGAACTAAGAATGATCCTTCAAAAAATTTCTCGTTCTCCTTTTTTAATCCAATTTTAATCCGGGGGCTAATGAATTTAAATGACTTCTTATCCAAAAACATAGCTTTCATTAGTTGAATTATGATATCATACTTGAAGAATGTTGATGTGTAAGTTGCACAGGATCTAAAAATGGAGTATTGAAACAGATTCTTTCAATTTTAGAACGTTAGTTCAAATGAATCACATTTGTTTTACTTAATCACAATTAAAAATACAATAGGAAGCGCCCTTTATTTGGCAAATCCCACCATCGCCATTAAAATCTTTGAAAATCTTTGATAATTGAGACCCGTTTGGAGATGAACTTTGACGCTACAAGACGATGCCTATATCCACGTCAACGTCTTTTCTCAAACCTCGCTCTCTAACTTAACCAATTTTTACTCAGCTCACAACCATCCTTCTAGTTTTTTTTGCTCTGAATTTACTGCCTCCTCTGCTCTGCTAAATCTATCGCACCCCAGTTAAGCTCTTGTCGGCGATTAGTGGGTCATTTTTGTTTTTTGATTCTGAATCTCAAAATTCCCAAGTTCTTGCTGTGAAAATTGGTGTTGTTTGATGCGATTGATTTTGGGATGTTGAGTTGAAGCAAATGGGTTCTCTGGAGAATGGATATCCATTGAAGAGAGACCCGCTTCTTCGTTCTTCATCGATTAGCAGAGGCGAAAGGTACCCATTTCTACAGAGACCCAGATCGAGATTTTCTCGGTTTTTGCTTTTCCAAAAGATTGATTACTTGCAATGGATTTGTACTGTGGGTGTGTTCTTGTTTTTCGTGGTTCTTTTTCAAATGTTCTTGCCTGGATCAGTCATGGAGAAGTCTGACATTGCCTTTAAAGATGTGGAGAAAAGTTTAGGGGATTTGGAGTTCTTGAAGGAGTTGGGTATGTTGGAATTTGGGGAGGATATTCGATTTGAGCCGTCGAAGCTTTTGGAGAAGCTTAAGAAAGAGGCAAGAGAAGGGGATTTTTTATCTTTCAATAGAACTATTAATCGTTTTGGGTATAGGAAACCTCAGCTTGCTCTGGTAAGTTTGCTACCACAATCTTAGCTATATTCAGGAATTGGTTCAATCTTTGAGCTCTGTGATGTCTGATGTTGTTGAACATTGAAATTTCTTTTATTGTCATTTTGTTTTTGAAGGTGTTTTCAGATCTGTTGGTTGATTCTTACCAAGTTCTAATGGTAACCATTGCATCTGCTCTGCAAGAGATAGGATATGCAATTCAGGTAATTCACTGAATGCAAGAGTTTTTACATATAGCCTTTTTTACTCTCAACTTCTGTTATGCAGTTTATTTTTTTGGGGAATTTGTGGGGATGTTTAAGGAAAGGTGTATGTGTGAGATCCTACATCGGTTGGGGAAGAGAACGAAAGAACGAAATATTCTTTATAAGGGTGTGGAAACCTCTCGCTAGCAGACGCGTTTAGAAATCTTGAGAGAAAGTCCGAAAGGAAAAGTACTAAGAGGACAACATCTGCTAGTGGTGGAATTGGGTCGTTACAAATGACATCAGAGCCAGACACTGGGCGATGTGCCAGTGAGGAGGCTGAGCCCTAAAGGAGGGTGGACACGAGACGGTGTGCCAGTAAGGATGCTGGGCCCTGAAGGGGGTGGATTGTAAGATCCCACATCGGTTGGGGAGGAGAACAAAATATTCTTTATAGGGCATGGAAACCTCTCCCTAGTAGACACGTTTTAAAAACCTTGAGGGGAAGCCTGAAAGGAAAAGCCCAAAGAGAACAATATTTGCTAGCGGTGGGTTTGAGCCGTTATAAATGGTATCAGAGCTAGACATTGGACGATGTGCCAATGAGGAAGCTGAGTTCCAAAGGGGGTGGATTGTGAGATCCCACATTGGGGAGGAGAACGAAACATTCCTTATAAGGGTGTAGAAAACTCTCCCTAGCAAACGTGTTTTAAAAACCTTGAGGGGAAGCCCGAAAGGAAAAGCCTAAAGAGGTCAACATCTATTAGCGGTGGACTTGAGCCGTTACAGTAAGCATGCAGCATGCTGGAATTTCCTATTTCAAATATGTTCAAGGAAAGGATAGGAAAGGATATAGAACGACAACGACATTGAAATATAAAAGCTGTATAATTGTTGGCTACTCCTTGTTGCAGGATGTGGACTAAAAACTTAGTTTTGGGAAAGGGCTTTACATTTAGTTCATCAATCTTTACTTTGATACTCCCTTCATTGCTATATCTTGGAATGCTCGATACGCTCTTCATAGTTATATATTTGAAGCTAAATTTTTTCCTCATAATAGTCATATTCATTTTCTTCAATGTTATATATTCGATACACCTTTCAGTGCTAAGTAGAAGTCTAGAACTAAGTTCAGCAGCTTAAACTTGCCGTGTTTATTTTACATGATATCTGTCGAGGAGATTATCTAGACCAGCATATAATTTGATATCTTAAGTTTTTGCTTTACAGGTTTATTCTCTTCAGGGTGGACCAGTGAATGATGCGTGGAGGCACATGGGAGTCCCAGTTACTCTAATTCAAATCTGTGATGAGACCGAGGTCATGGTTGATTGGCTAAAGTATGTTAACCTTAACGCTACTCGTCACAGTGTTTTGACCTTATGACCTTTATTTCTACAGCATTCGATTAACTAAGTTACGTATTGTTTCTAATTATGTTTACGATGTTATTTCCAGCTATGATGGCATACTTATGCACTCTTTTGGAGTGAAAGACGCCTTTTCCTGGTAAGACGTTATGCAAATAACTTTTTTGCAGTTAGTTTTGTGTTCTTATTCCACGAACTGCGTACTTATGCGTATTATCGATCCATCTTATCTCGTACTAACAGTGAACTTATGGAAATTTGCCAAACTCTTATCATTTTTTCAATAAGTTTTGTTGCTTGTTACAGCTTCCTGCAGGAACCTTTCAAATCCTTACCACTCATCTGGACCATCCATGAAGAAACCCTCGGCTTACGCTCTCAAAACTACGCTTCAAATGGGTTATTTGATCTTCTAAATGATTGGAAGAGAGTATTCAACCATTCAACTGTTGTTGTCTTTCCCAATTACGTCATGCCGGTAATGGCTAGTTGATATTTCTGTTAAGGTTTTCTGAAATCTTTGTAAGTTTATAACTTTATTGTAACCTGTGAAGTAAGGAAGTTGTCCCTTCTTATTAATTGGTTTTGTTATATGTATAATTACCACAGATGATCTATTCTGCATTTGATAGTGGGAATTTCTTCGTGATTCCGAGCTTTCCTGCCGAAGCATTGGAAGCAGAAATTGATATCACCTCCGATGCTGATAATCCGCGTGCAAAAATGGGCTATGCTAATGACGACTTGGTTATTGCCATTGTTGGAAGCCAATTTTTGTATAGGGGCATGTGGCTAGAACATACAATGATGTTGCAGGCCATGTTGCCACTACTTCACAAGTTTTCTTCGGATGAGCATTCCAATTCTCATCTCAAGATATTTATTCTAAGCGGGAATTCAAATAGCAACTACACGATGGCTGTCGAGGTGCGTGTCTGCTTTGGTTTACTTTTTTCGTTTGATGAATTGCTATCTTTTATTGAGTCATCTGATTTTCCGCAGGCGATTGCTCAGAGACTGGAATATCCAAGGAGTGTTGTGAAGCATGTTCCTGTCAATGCAGATTCAGACAATGCTCTAAGTATGGCTGACCTTGTTATATATGGTTCTTTTTTGGAAGATCAATCTTTTCCACAGGTTTTGGTAAAAGCCATGAGCATGGGAAAACCAATCATCGCCCCGGATCTTGCCAATATTAGGAAACACGTATGTTTCTCATTTCTTTATCTTCCTACTTTTTGGTAGCGTGTCGTAGACAGGATGATGCTTATTCATATTCTCAACAGTTTGAACATGTCATACATTTGTTCTCAAACATTGTTTTTTCTTTCTTTCACAAATAAGAAAGAATTCGTAAATAAGAACGAATATGCAACGGAAAGGGACGGCCAGATATTCCCCCCCCCCCCCCCCCCCCC